AGTATTTTTATTATAATTTACAACACTTATATTACGCAACTGAGATGTATACTCTTACTGAAGCTAAAATTTATGGCAACAAAATAATAAAAATATGGCAACAAAACACGAATAGTTTAGTCCGATTTTGCGTAACGTGATGATATACAAATTTATATACGAGGAAATATCGGGAAAGTAAAAAAATGTTCTATATTGATGTATCTATTTTCGACGCTACAGTTTGGATTACTCGTTATTTCTAATCCCAGTATGGGACAAAATTTTATCTCGAGTAGTAACTATTGTGTCGCATATACAGTACTACTATATAGAAAAAAGAATTAACTACGGCAGCAAGAATCTATGTGTGATAACTAAATCTCGTTGTAACATATGGATATCTGAAAATAGCCAGGTATACATTTCGTTATGAAACCGATGTATGTAGTAACAAATATTTTGACTACAGCAGCAAATCTTTAGTTACAGCAACAAGTATATGTTCAATAAGTCATGATTAGCTGATTAGTAATCTTCTTTTCCCGTATGTGTATGCGTGTCTATAAGAATCGCAGAAAGATGGAATATCCGTAGACAATGATGGGTAATAACCGTGTTGATCGTGTTGCATTGCTCATCATTAATGTATTATTACATTGTCATTTGCAAAAAAAACTATTGCACAAATATGTTTGTTTAATTGACTTTTGGTTAAAGGAAACAGAATTTCTGGTTCTTATGAGTCAAATTCGGTTTTAAAACTCGTAGGAATAGTTTACTTGAAACTATGTTACTTGAAACTCTCCTCAAGTGAAGTTCTCAGATTTGAGTTCAGAATTAGATGGAAGTTTTTCATTTAAATCGCGATTGCAGATATAGCGTCCTACAGTTCAACTGAAAAATTTGCATCTAATTCTGAACGAAAATCTGAGTATTTCACATGAGACAAGCTTCAAATAACAACTATTAATACAGCTCTAGAACTAGAAACTAGAAAATTCGGTTTCCTTCAACTAAAACGCATTTGGTTCGATTTATTATCAGGTCAATTAAATCAAACTTTTTTCGCTATCATTGAAGCAATACATAACATATATGAAAAATTTAATGTAATATAAGATTCTTTTCATATGTGTTTCAAAGTCATCGAAAAAGTTTCAAATTTCTTTGAAAAAAATTACTTTTTCCTGCTTTGGGAAGAAATTACTTCTGCATGGAATTTTATTCTTCGCTTTTTAAATTTCCCATACTTTCTTCAAATCTTTTCTACACTTATCTTAAACGAGAATACTGTGGTAATTTGTTAATTAATGAATAATTTGTAAAACTAAATTTTGGAGAGGGTAGGACAATTTAATAAAATTTAATTATATTTAACTAATCTTTTAATTAACAACACCGTTATTGTATACTTTAATTATTATAAGAACCTTTTATAATATGTACGGCGATTAGTATGAAAGATTAGAGTTCGTGATTGTTGTCGATTGTTGTTCCTCGATAAGTCAGCTGCTAGCCTGTTCGTTCTCCTTCGGTTTATTCTTTTATAATCGCGTGATAACCTTTTCGTAAGTAACGTTTATCGCTGAACAATGTGTTGAACATACATTTGAATATCCGAAATCATAAAATCTTCTCATAATATCTATCTTTGAAAAAAGTCTTCTGTATTTAAGCAGAACACACTAAAAAAATTGAACCAAGATATTTGATACATATAATTTGGGTTGGCAGGTTTTTTACTTGTGTTAAACAGAATGATCAGTAAGTTATAAAAAGTTAGAAAAATAATTAGTAAGAAAACAAAACACACGAGCGGCAATTAAATTATTTGGTTGCGATTACCAAACGTTTGATTGATCCCATTTTAATAAAATTTCGATTCAGTATACTAAATTTTCGTTACAACATCCCTTCTTTAGTGCAATTGTAAAACAATATCCTGATTGGTTCTTCAGCTTACATTCACGGTTTGTGCGCGAAAGCTCTAATGAGACCTCATTTTCACACGAAGCTACTTTGTGAAGGCTAACCGTGTGCAAAATCAACACGTACCACGGCGCGCCCATTTCTTCGAATCGCACGCTAATGGGACAATAGTGCACGCGGACATTTCACTTTGAAATGCTGCGAAACAATTTGCATTCGCGTTTTTCGTATTAATCGCGCGTAATGCCGAGCGATTTGTATCCAAATGATCAAACAGTAATACGCTAAAACGCTCGGCCCGCTCGACTCGCAACATTGAGTTATTTCCACGAGGCTGAACGGTCTCTCGTAGATGGTAATAACATTGATTGCATTTTTATAATAATGTTTGCGAGAACGCGTTCCGCCACGCATCGAGCGCGGCCACCGCGCTCTCGCGTACTCTCGCGCTCACCGAGCTATCGATAGGTGCGCGCGCGCGTGTCAGATGGAATTCGACTGCACCGTCGCGATGTGAATTTTACGTCACGCCGGACGCCACTCGCGTTTCATAGAAAATACTACAACGGTACTCCAATATACGCGTTATATCGGCCCGAAACCCCGTCATATCGATAACACGCGAGCCCCACCGGATATTGTTTGCCCGTGAATCCGAAAGATCTGAATTTTCGCAATACGATCGAGATGGGGCTAGTTTCGATTTAAGCGGCCGCGCAATAATTGATATCACCGAGGCCCGTTGAATTTTAAGCATTTCCGTTGTTCGACACGATCGTTGGGAGGAAAAAAAATAGACGGAAAAACCTGTCGCGACGAAAATTGCAGTCGTTAGAATTGATCAAATGCGATCGGGCCCGCTAACTGACCAGCGATCGTCGTCGGATTATTATCACCACTCGTCGGTTTTTTAGTTTCCCTTCGACGGCTTCGCATGGCGCTATGGTAATCTCGGAATGTCCGGCGAAATCGATCGTCAATCGATTTTCTGATTGACTTTCCGACGTTTGCGGGAATTTTATGTAAATTACGTGGCATATGAAGCGCGCGCGCGCGCGCGAGCTCATGCCAAGGACACTGTCAGTTTTCGTCGTTACTATCGAATTTTCTCTCGTCATGCGGATCGTTGGCGGAATAAAACGACGCTATATAGTAACTATAGTTCCGGTTCGATTGAATACACCGTCGGCTCGAAAGCCACTACCGATAACGTGTCCGCCAACCCACCACCCCGGCCTGCTCCACTGCCCCAACCCACCGTCGAAATCCGCCAAATTCCGGAATCCGGTCTGCCACGCGCAGGATAAAACACGGGGAAGAACGAGGATAATAAAAAGCCCGCTGTGCACCGCGCACGCGCGCGGCTATCTCTCTCCCTTGGCGGGCGAGCGGCCGCTCGCGACGAGAAAATCGGCACGAAGATCTCGATTTTTCCGAGTTTCACGGCGGCGCGCGTGAAATAATCAAACGTGGAATAAAGTAACGTAATTTCACGATACGGGCGCGCGGGCGCCGCGTAATCGCGCTTCGATTTATCATTCGCGTCGTTCGAAAACTCGTCATTTACACGGATCGCATTTATCTCGTGCCTTTTTTTCTTCTTTCTCTTTTTATTTTTTTCCCCCGTGACACTACGATATTTCACGGGTGACGCGGCAATAATCGCGCCCGACGCGTCATTTGCGTCGTCCCCAAAATGATCGATGATCGAACGAATCGCGTTTCATTTTGATCCTCTACACAGAGGGCAAGGACTGGTAGAATTCACGCGACAATGACATAGCTAAACATGTTATAGTTGAGGGAAATCAAATTTACGATGCTGAAGAACCAAATTTGGTTCATAAGAACCGGGGATTCTGTTTCCCTCAATCAAAACAGGCCTCGCATAGAGAAATGATCGATTTTCCAAAATAATTATCGGTTTTGATAATATTTTAAATATGCGATTCGAAACTCAAAGTTTATCCAACATTCATTCTGAACTTTATTGTGCATTACAACTGAACAAAACCAATATTGACTTTGCAATTAATTTCATTATTCACTAAAATACTCAAAGTATTTTAAAAATATTTTATTATCTCTATTAGTCTATTATTATTAAATATTATATTATTATTGTTTATTCTGTTAAATATAATAGTTGGTAATATAAAAACAGGGACTTTATTATGTATTACAATTGAACAAAACAAACCAATGACTTTCTAATTGATTTTATTATTCGCTAAAATACTCAGTGATATTTTCATAATGTCCGGTTAACTTTAACTACTGGATATTCCGTTGGAATTGACCAATCATATTTAACGTTGATCAGAATTAACCAACCATGATTGACACTTAACCGATAGTTAAAGCTAACCGTAAATTGTGAAAATGGCCCTCAAAGTGTATAAAAAATATTTTATTACCTCTATTATTTTCTATTATTATTAAATATTACATTATTTTCTATTATTATTAAATATTATATTACTTTTTATTCTACTAAATATAATAGTTGGTACAAAAACATGGATCTCTAGTTGATATCACAAAAGAATACTGACATTAACAACTGAAAAAGCTCCCGTAATACTGAATGTGTTTTGCGTTGAGTCACAGAATGTATTATTGCGTGCTCGCATGGAGGTCAAAGTGACGAAAGAATAAAACAATTGCCGTTTATAAGTAAGATTGTTGAATGTTACGAACGTCACTTCCAAACACAAAAATAAACCATGAAAGGAAGGTGCCGAGAACGCTAATATCATAAACAAAACGAGACGGAGAAATATTCGTTTGATTAAATGTCAGTTTGACCCGTCCACTTACGGGTTAAGTTGATGCAAAAGGTTTGTCAAATAAAATAGAAGACAGAATTATTCAATTTTGAAGGATTAATAATTCTTACGAATAAAATAAACAATGTCAAAGCAACATTTGTCCTATAGATTTAATACAAGGTTTTTCTTCTTAATGTCCAAATCGATAATTCCACAGAAAAATGATAATTTTTTTGCACCAACCTAACACTTCGACGCAAAGTAACGGTTTCGCAATTAGTTTAATAGTTTGTGCTGTTAATTGCTCTTCACACATACCTGTCTTCTATCTGGAGGCCCATCGCGACATATCCAACAGCGCGGCAAGATCGATGACGGTGCCGGATCCCTGGTCGATCGACGCTTCGCGCTCAATCGATCTCACCTGCAACAAAAGGAAGACAAAGTCGAGGTAGAAAAAAGCCGACAGATCATAACGTGGTGCGGTTACAGCGGGCTTGATAGCGAGTGATAATACGCGCGTTCGGAAAAAGAGAGAGGAAGAGAGAGATTCACACGATCGTGCGAATAACACGACGCGCGTCTTATCGCGAGCGATCATCGTCTACGCAACGAGGCGAGCCACGTGGCCAATAAGAGTCGAATAGTCCGGCGAATCGCGTCGATTTCGATCGAACCGCAGCTCTCCTTATCGATCGTTTCGCTCGCTCATAAAATCTCCGCTTCTTCCTTCGTCCCAACAAAATATAAGGAGCGAAGCGCGCGCTCGATTCGAAATCACCGGCCATGCAAACGGGAAACCTCGCCCTAGCCGAAGGGCGTTCTCGTGAGTGCAGCGCGCGCTGCACGGCACACTGCAGTTCGTAGCATAGACACGGCCGGCACAAAGCGGCCGTGCGCAAGCACACACACATACACACACACATACATAGCATAGTCCCTTTTTCCTCCGAATATCGGCGAGATCTAAGCGCGCGCGCGCCTCTCTGGAAACCGCTATCGATATCGTATCCCGCGCGGCTTGCTCGCTCCCCTCTGCCCGCCTCTCTTTTCCCCTCCCGACCCCGCGGAAACGCGCAAAATTCCAGAACGCCGTCCGATGCAGATGCACCGCCGCCAAGTACGGCGGCATCGCCGTAGGCGACTGTAACGCGGAACTCGTGATCGTCGCTGCGTGATCCACGAGAGCGTGCACGGGGAAATATAATAAATCTCTCTGTCTTTCTCTCCCGCTCGTTGATGCGCCGGGGATCGTCTATTATTATCGTTACTATTATTACCGATCGCAAGATTGCGAAGGAGATTTGTAGGGGGGAAGAGAGGGAAAACTCGCGTTCCTTCTCTCACTACTCTCTGGATTTGAAGAATCATCGAAGACACACGAAGGTCTCCTCTACTCGGATCCTTCGAGTCGTTCTCTGTCCTCCCTTTACACTTGCCTCATCTTTTCTTTGTTTCCAAGAATCTCAGCCAAGCCGTACGTTTACGGTTCGCTCGAGTGGAGGAGGAAGGGAACACGTTTGGATTAGACGCGCGACTCGCACGTTTTGATTATTTTTCTCCTGTTTGGAAACGACTGTCCATTCTATTCCATTCCATTATATTCCGCCTAAACCGCCGGATGAGCTTTCTCTGTCTCTCTCTCTCTCTCTCTTTCTCGCTCTCTCGCGTCCTTTCTCACCCCTAGTCGTCCCATAGCGTCCTGCATACCGCGCATACACAAACGCATACACGCGCGCGACATACGCGATCGGACAAGAGATAATCGCGGAGCGGGCTGTCGTGTCGCTCGCTCGCTCGCTCGCTCGCTCGTTCGCTTGCCGGCGCATCGCGCGGCTTTCGGGTGTGCTGGTTTGCCCGAAGGGGGTGACGTCGGGCGTCGCGAGGCAATGGCAGTGCTAGGAAGAAGAGCGGCGAGGGGGTGGCGAGAGAGAACGAGCGAGAGAGGGCAGAGGAGAGACGGCAGTCGGAAGAGAGAAGAGACCCGAGAGTCGCGCAAAGCGAAGAGGAGTCGGCCGGCGAGAGGGTAGCGGGCGCAAGCGACGGGGTAGTGAGAGCGGGTGGACGGGAGAGGATTGGAGGCGGCTGGGTAATGGGGGAGCCAGTACGTGGGGTAGCTCGGTGGTACGGCAACGAGCGGTTTCGCGGACCGGTGGGTGGACAGACGGGGTACAGGGGTGAAGGGGTGGTGGTGGTGTAGCGCGGCGTTAGAGGTAGCGAGAGCGCGGGACGAAGGGACGAGGGGCATGAGGTGGGGTTGGTTAGGCGGACACCACAGAGGGCGACGTAGCGGGCGGAAAGGTGAGGGCATAGGGGCGGTGAGAGGGGGCAGAAGGGTGGCAGAGAGGCAGCGGTAGAGCGGAGGAAGCAATGCGACGACGACGACGACGACGACGACTACGCTACGACTACGACGACGAGGCGCTGGTTGAGTTTGTGAGCACGCGCTACCACTCTTCGGGTTCTATCTGCCCACATCCCTCGTTCTGCGTATCGCCATCTCTCTCTTTCTTTCCCTCTTACCCTCTATCTCTCTTACTCTCTCCGTTGCACTCGTTATCTCGATTCGCTCGCTCGCACGCTTCTTTCTCCGTCGCTCTACCCCACAGCCGCTTCTTCCTTCGTCGCTCGCTTCGTTCCTGACACTCGGGGAGCGGGTCCTCTCCACTCGCCGCCCCCTCTCCCACCCCTCGCGCCCTTCTGCACCCCGCGCGCCTCGTCCTCTCGCGCGACAGCCGCATCGGTTCGCGTCCCTCTGGCTGTTTCCCTTCGCCTCACCATCCCCTGCTTGCCCCTTCTCTTTCGCTCTATCTATCTACCTCTCCCTACCGCACACGCGCGCATCGCATATCAATCCGTCTCCGTCCCGCGTGCTCCGTATCTCCATCTCTCTCTCTCTCTCTCTCTCTCTCTCTCTCTCTCTCTCTCTT